CACACTGAATCTGTGACATGTTCTGTGTTTTGTTCTAGCTGGAAGCCCCATCATGTCTGACAGGTTATCAGTCAAGCCTCAGTGACTGATTTGGGACACATGAGGATTGAGTAATTGTTTTAGCCTGGCCTGTGCTTTCTCGTAATACTCAACTGCTGTGTGTGACCTGTCTTCACCTGAAGCTTTCTGGTGGCACTGCCATCATACCCTGCTCCCCACTCCCAGAACTGCCCCTCACCGCCAGAGTTCTCCCCTTCCCTGATGACACTGCTGCTGTTGAAAAGTGCTTATTCATTCACCTGCATTGAAACCCATTCTGTGTCAGGTTCATGTTAAGCCATGGGGGTCAGAGAAGAATCAGACATTGTCCTCTCTTTCAAGAATGGTCATAACTGCCAAGCACGGTGTCTGCTGTGTCCAGTTGTTTAGAAGGACCATTTCTACCTCTGTGGCTTCCTCCCTTGCTCTATAACATGCCCGCTGCCCTCCCCTCCAGTGTAGGCCTTCCTTACCTCTCACTGGCCTGTTGCAGTAGCTTCAGTGTACCTGTCTCTCAGCAGCTGCTGTTTGCACTGTATATCACAGCCAGCTTGAAGGCCTGCCTCCCTCCTCATCGCCTAGCCACGTGTTATTTGTTGTTGCTCAGTGACAGTGAGGAAGATGTTGATGCCTTAGTACAAGTCAAGACAGTGGCATGGAGCTGTGCTCACAGCCATGTTGTTCCTCCCTGCCATCTACTTAACAGCCGTTCACTTAAGAATGTCCTTGATGAAGCAGCAGGAGATGCTAATTTTACTGGGTCTCACCTGAGAATCATCTTCTAATTCTGTATGATATACAGACGATACACTTACAGGGCACTTCTTTGTGTAGCAAAGCACAATGATGACATACCAAGGGATGGCACTTGTAAGCACTGTTTGAATTGTAAGATGAGCAAAAAGCAGCTGTTGTCATTTTTCTGTGGAAGAATGATTGATGGTTATTAAGGAGAGGAAGAAGGCAGGGACCAGTGTTAGAGGACCCTGTGAACTGTATTAATGGGCTTAGATGGCTAACTTAGCTTGTTTTTCCCAGCCTTTATATTGTGCTTCCTACCCAAGCCCTGCCCCTTGCTATGCTGTGTTTTGCATTCTGTAAGCACACACTTCCTGTTTCTGCTTCCATATTGTTGTGATGTCACTCCTTTCACTCGGAATTGCAATGTGGCTGTGAAGGCTCCTTATGATTCTAGGATCAGAGCAGAGGGAAAAGATGAGTCTGAGTGTTTGCTCTGGGCATCTGAGTATCACTGCCTGTGAAATATCTCCCTGATGCTGTTTTCACTGCAGCTGTGTTGAACCACATGGCCCAGGCTTTCTACATATGGAGGCTGTCTTAGTTAGGGTTTCTATACTGTGAAGAGATACCAAGACCATGGCAACTCTTATAAAGGAAAACACTTAATTGGGATGCCTTACAGTTTCAGAGGTTCAGGCCATTATTATCTTGGCAGGACATGGCAGCATGCAGGCAGACATGATAATGGAGAAGGAGCTGAGAATTCTACAGTTCTTGATCTGCAGGTAGCAGGAAGTGAACTGTGATACTGGACGTAGTTTGAGCATAGGAGACCTCAAAACCCATTCCCACAGTGACACATTTCCTCCAGCAAGGCCACACCTCCTAATAGTGCCATTCCCTTTGGGGGCCATTTTCTTTTAAACCACCACAAGGTCCTAAAATAAAAAAATCATCCCTCCACTCTGTGGAATCTCACAGACTGTGAGATTAGATGGGGCTTATTTCACACATGGCTCCTGACATTATTGTCTGTTAAATTTGATGAGCTTCTGCTCAAATATGCCTTCTCCTTTTCCCTTACACCCAGTGATGTCATCAGAAACCACACCTACCAATTCCCAGGTCAGATGGGAGATGTCACATTGCACTTCATTCTAGACTGTCTTAAATAATGTGCTTAGACATTGGTTTGTAATTTATCTTCTATAAGATGACAAAACACAAAATACTAAGGTATCTCAGGGCAAGAAGAGGCTTCTGGCAGGTTAAAATTAATTAATATAGTAGTGAGGATGTGACTATTAGGCCTTTGTGCTTAGGTAAGCTAAAAGAGAGCTGCCCAACATGCGAGAAAGTGTGAACAGGGAGCTTAGGGACTGGAGGCCTGCTGAGAGATCAGAGTCTCATGGTCCTTGTCTTGTTAGAGTTTCTGTTGCTGTGATGAAATACCATAAGCAAAATCTAGTTGTGGAGGAAAGGGTTTATTTCAACTTATACTCCCAGGTAACAGTCCTTCATTGAAGGAAGTCAGGGCAGGAACATGGAGGCAGGAACTGATGCAGAGGCCATGGAGGGGTGCTATTTACTGACTTGCTCCCCATGGCTTGCTCAGCCTGCTTTCTTGTAGAACCCAGGAACACCAGCCTGAGGATAGCTCCACCTATAATGGACTGGGCCCTCCCCCCATTAAATACTAATTACAAAAATGCCCTACAGCCATGGAGGCATTTTTCTCAATTGAAGTTGCCTTCTTTCAGATGACTCTACTTTGTATCAAGTTGGCATAAAATTAGTCAGCACAGTACATCAATAAAGAACCATTGTACCAAGATTTATAAACAATAGGATTGGTGCCTGGTTGTCACCAGCTACCATCTTTGCCTTCCAGCATTAGTGTCTGAGAACAGCGTCATTATGGGTTAGAATTCCTGAGCCCAGAGTCTAGGCTTAAATTCTAGCACTGCTGTTTACTCACTAGATGATCAAGGCATGAATATCACTGTTACCCATTTGTATCAGTTCCTCCATTTGTAAAATGTGGGCCAGAATTAGCTTACCTCAGAGTTGTGCAGAGTGCATCAGTGGGTCTGTGGAGTATAGAAACTGTAAAGGGCTTCAGACATTGCCTGGCAGGTGAGGACCACGTGAGAGTGTGCACTGTAAATGCTAGGGTAGTGTGCACCATAGCTTCTGTTGCCACAGAGGCACAGATGACCCAGTCTCCCATGTTCCTTCTTCCCTTGTCTTACACGCCTTACTCCACCCCTTCCTTTGTGTGTCAAACTTCCTTCAGTTCCTCCATTTCCTTTTCTGTCTGTGGTTTGTTACGGTTGCTGCTGAGGATGGGGCCCCGGGGTCCTGTGTGTGGTAGACAAACACTCTTACTAAACTACTCCCAGCCCCCCCACACACACACACCCCGGTTTCCTCCCATTGTCCATTCTCCTCAGCTGACCCTGAGGACGAAGCTGAGTTTGTCTGATTATGCCCTGTAACCTGCTCTCCACCATCCTTCCTTCAGAATGAAGGAAGAACTCAGGCAGATTGGGATCCTCAAAGAGCTCCGGAGTTGGAGCAGGGAGGGAATAAGCTATTTGCAGAGCTGAGTGAACCAGATGACCCTCTGGCATCATACATGAGCTATGACAGCTGGCAATCTGTGTATAGACTCAGGTCTGGTAACCTGAGGGACAGTGGGGCTTGTAAGGTGTAGGGTTTTTCCTCCCGCCGCTGGTCTGGTCCCGTAGCCGCATCAGTCCCAATTAACACACTGAGACTCTGTATTTGATATAATTTTGTTGGCCCGTTATTAGTTTTTTATCGGCTAGTTTTGTCTTAATTATTAATCCATTTTTATGTATTTCCATGTGGTTTCACCTACTGGGGAGTGGAGCAGGCATCTGGTCTCCCCTGTCTCTCCATGCTGACTCCTCCTTACTACTTCCTCTTTCCTCCTTGTCTCCTAGTCCCTCCTATCTTCCTTTCCTATTGGCCAACAGTGCTTTATTCATTAACCAATATGAGAAACATATACAGAATGACACCTCCCATCATCTCCTCTTTTCTGTCTAAAACAAAGAGAAGGGTTTTAACCTTAACATAGCAAAATATATAACATAACAGTTATCAAATAAGAATCACAGTTAACAATATTTAGTCCATTAACATTTAGCAAGATTTAAGAAAATATCCCATCATCTATTTTATCTTTGTGAGTCTAAAGACCTATATGTAACTTATCTTTAAACCTAACTAAGGAAAACTATAACCATAACTATCTGTCTTCAACTCCTTTAAAGACCACAGAAGGATAGTATATAAACTCTAGAAATGACAGAGACATCTTGCCTTGTCAGTCATCTGAAGTTCTTTTGTAATTTTTCATCTTTAGCCCATAGGCCATAGTGTATCTAGTAGACTCTTCAGTAAAGTAGGAAACCTTAAACTGTCTTTTTGTATTGGCAGTTTGTTAGTCACTTTTCTCTGTGTCCTGTAAACTGTCTGGCCGACTCTTCCATGAAGCAGGAACTCTGTAGTAATGTCCATCTTGAATCAGTAGTCACTTTTCTGTGGGTCCTGCATGTCCAGTTTATACAGTATAAAGTTAAACAGTCCAGACAAGAGCAGTATCTTGTCTAATGGCTTGTCTTTTCATATTAGAAGTAAACTTCATAATGCATTTCTTTAATGTTCATTTTTCTTTTTTCTTTTTGGTGTAGGTGGTGTTGTCAGGAGTAGTTATGTCTCATTGTCAAGAAAAACCCTAAACCATTTTAAATGCCATATTCTGTAGGTCTATGAAAGATTTGAAGAATGTCTATTTATCTTAAATGCATGTCTGTATATCTAAAAATTCTAACTAACTTAACAATAAGTTTTGACTATTATGAATAGTTATCTAAAATCTGTACTAAATTATACATTACATCCCTAAATGAGCTATATAAACACAATGCCTAAACAAGAGGAGAAATATACATATCACAAAATTGACCTTAAATTGTATCAATAAATGAAAATTCATTTTAAAACAAAGTATTTATATCTATACCATATTCTCTTTTTTTACCTTTAAAAAGGGCTTGGTTGTAGTCATTAACTATTTATAACCAACCCCTCACATCACCTCATCTAAAAGAGGACCAGGCTTCTAGAAAACAAGTTAAAGAGCTTTTGTGTCTGAGACCTTTTTGGAGAGGGAGTGTGGTAGAGTCTATAGGGCTCATAGCCCAGACCACCCTTTCCCTGCATCATCTGCAAGGCACATGCATACCCTCATTTCTTTCAGAATGTGCAGTGGGCACCTAAGGGGTCTGTGTGCCATGCCTCATATGTGCCATACACTATTTCCATTTCAGTGATGTTTGTGATGGATGGCGTTCATCTGATGCTGTACTGTGACTTATAGAAGAGACAGAGGTGCATAGGAGACCGTAGGAACACCGGGGATGATCAAGAAAATCAGTTTTAGTGGAGCTTCTCTTGGAGACTTGGGAACAGAGGCTGGAATACCAGCCACTAGTTTTATACAGTACAATCCCATTTGTCTCATGCCTGACTTCCAGAGTGATTGATTGCACACACCATAACTCATCTGGAGTTATTGGAGAGCTGTGTGGGATAAGGACTTTTGAGCTGGCTTGGATGGCCAGGAAGAATTCGTACACCAGGGGAATCGGGGAGGTCAAGGTGCAGTGATTGTGGGGCTTCCCTGAGGGTGCATTTGTCCAATAGCTGGGACATACTGAATTAAGGTATCTGTGATAAAACTAGAGTGTGACCCACCTCATTCGCAGTAACCTCTCCCACCCCATAATTCTTGCTATGAAAATGCAGGAAGTTCTGCACGTTTCTTCCATTTCACTGCTTTCCTACGTTTCCTTCCTAGTTTCAAAAAACAACTGTCCCTCAACAAGTTCTGTTTGCAAGGAAAACCTTAGCCGTTTGTCCATTCTGGCGTACCTTCTTCCATTGAGATCCATGCAGAATAGACCAGGTACTCTGTCTTTGTGTGTGAAGCCATAAAATCTAATATTGAGTGTGTGGCTCTGCCCAGGGGTACGCTGCTTCCACCGGAGGCCCCACGGTCCTGCTGTGGTAAAGAGCACATATAAATTGCTGCTAACAGGGTTTTCTATCTAGAGCTGTAAGTATGTCTGAGAGTCCCCTGTGAGTCACAATGCCGCCAGCTCTCCTGCTATTCTCCACACTGCCCGCCCGTTGGCTGTTTGGTTTGTCCACAGGCCACTAATCGGAATGTGGCCAGGGGAGGGTACAGGAGCTGAAAGCACAGTCTGTTCACTCCACTCTGGGTTTGCAGCACTGGTGAGAAAATAGTTGGGACAAGCGTTGACACTAGATTGTACACCAAAGGGACAGTCGTCCAGTCCAGTACCGTCCAGCCCCGTCCCATCCCCCTCCTCCAGTCCTTCAACGATGAATGACCTGTGCTTCATTTCCAAGGAATGTCTCACAATGTCCTGTAAATGCATCTGGATGGTATTTTCCTTGTAATTTACCTTATGAGTGTGGCTACTTCAGCAGCAGTATTTAATCCTCTGAGAGTCATAGGGCATTGTTGGCCCCAGGTGGAACGTGTGCTTGAAGCTGTTGGCAGGAGTAGCATTTTTAGACACTCTGAATTCTTTTTATCCGTGGTTTGTTTGTTTGTTTGTTTGTTTGTTTGTTTGTTCGTTCTCTATTCTGGAGTGTAATTGAAAACCTGCTGTTACCAGTTCCCTAAAATGGAAGGGGGGTTGCATCTAGAAGAGCAGTCAGATGCTCGGCTGCTTAACTGTGCTTTCTGGATTGTAGTGTTGAAAGTGTCATTCTGAATGCTTCCTGCTAACAGCCACCAAGTGCTGGCCTCTATGAGCAGCATGTATTTGGGTAGTGGCACTAAGCAATCTTCCATGGGATCCTTGGAGGAGGGAGTGGGCCTTCCCCTCAGTGAGCAAAGAGCCAGATTCCATTTTGAACTTCTCAGGAAAACAACCCTCAGAGCCTATGTTTATTGAAGTTTGGTGTAAAAGTCTCTCACATCCTCTGCCCATCAGCTCTCGGGTGCCTCTATTTTAGAAGGATGTAGAGGCTTAATCACCCTGGTGGGGATTTAGACCCAGAGACTTCAGAGAAATCTTATTATTTCTAACTGCAGGCAAAGAGTATTAAGGCTCTACTCTGGATCAGGGGCATGACATGTTCTATAAGTAATTTATCTTTAGCAGGGGAAGGCCCCTACTAGACTGGCCTAGAAACAAAACTGTGATTGGCTCTCCTTTTCTGTTTCCTGCTCCTGCTGCTTCGTTCTGTCCTGACCCTTCCTGCCCAGTATGTCCCCTGTCTGTGTCCGCCAGCATGGGAGCCAGGTGCCTGCCAGGGAGAGATAATGATGTTTTCACAATAAGTGACCTCATCCAACAGCCTGTCTTAGACTTGTCAGCTGCAGGCCTCCCTGCACTCTTTCAGGAAGGACCAGGAAAGTAGAGGATGATGTGGCACTGGATCTGTGCTCCTGGAGTGAAGGAATTGGAGGATATTCTCAGCCCAGCCCCCTACCCTCTTGTCGTCTTTGAGGATAAGGCAGGCTCTATAGAGGCCTTTCACAGCCCCCAGTGAATAGCCATGCAAATATTGCTCGGCTTCTGATTTTACCATCCCGTTCTATTCCTGGCCCCTTCCTTATCTAGCTCCTAGCCCCAGGGACGCTCCCTTTCTCATGATCACAGGTGGGCCCTGCTTGTAGATTGTTTGTTGTTTGGGGGACTCTGGTTTAGCTGGTGGCAGATCTAAATCCATGTGCTAATGAGCTTGGCAAATGCAGGCTTCTGGTTGCCTCTCCTAATCTAGCTGCCTGTCTGAGTCCCTTCCCACAGTTAATGATCTCCTATAATGGTTTTGCCTTTAGTTTTGCCTTCTGGGTCAAAACAAATCAATATCCCTCACAGATATTTAAAACCATCAGTATAAAGCTCCTGGGTCTCTCTGTTTTCTCCTTCTGGGTAAACTCACTGCTTGATCGGTACAATGCAATTTTCCTTATGTTCCCTCTTGTCTCCCAGAGATGGGCAGCAGTGAGCCCCTTCCCATCATGGATAGTGACAAGAGGAGGAAGAAGAAACGTAAGACCCGGGCCACTGACTCTCTGCCAGGAAAGTTTGAAGGTTGGTCTGGGCCTAAATGCTGCAGGAGGGGAGGAGCATCTCTGCTATCCACAGGACCAAATTCCAGGACACCTCACCTTAGAGCTAGGCCGTCCCTGTGATTAATAAGCCAGATGAGTGAGAAATGATCAAGAGGGAGAAAGGATGGGCTCAAACCCTTAGGCGTGGCCTCCTCTGAGTGGTGTGAGCATCACCTCCACGGCAGGAAAACCAGCCTGTGGGAGCAGATGTGAGCCACCTCCTTGTGGTTCCTGGAAGGCTGGGAGGCAGAAGAACCAGAAAAGATGAAGGGGAAGCGCTGAGGCCACAGCTGCAGTGACACTGCAGTCTTCTCTAAGTGGGGAACTGGCCTGCAGAGGCTGCAGTGACTTGTGCTGCATGTGCTTGGCTCCTTCTGAGAATTCATTGCATCCAGGGGACATGATGTTGCATCATCAGACATTTTCGATGACCAGGCTCAAGGCACTAGGCTGGGGGCTGCCAGGACTATCTCTGAGCATTAGATGAGAAGATGTGAATCGCTGGGTGTTTCTCCTAAGTGGTCAGAAGATCAGCAGTCACTTTTAGGAATAGCATATCCCTTTATGTGGTTTTTCACTGTGTGACTTGAAGTAGCTTCCCCTCATGAGTTCTCTTCCTAGCCTTGCATACATACCAGCAAATTGATAGTTTGTAGAACGTTCTGATAACAAACCCTGTCTAAATTGGGAATACTTTAATCACCTAACATCCTGGGGTGTGTAACAGGCCATTACGGAAGGATGCTCTGAGAGAGAACCCTGCCATTTAAATCAACTACAAGTAGTAGTCAACAGTATACCATCCATTCATATAGACAGCTGCAAGACCAGACTGTAATGGAACCAAGAAAGTACTTAATATAGAGATTTATGGGGGTTTTTTGTTTTTTGTTTTTGTTTGTTTGTTTTTGTTTTTCTGAGCCAGGGTCTGCCTATATAGCTCTCACTGTCCTGGAAGTCACTATGTAGACCAGGCTGACCTTGAACTCATGGAGATCTATCTGCCTTTACCTCCCAAGTGCTGGGATTAAAAGTTTGTGCCATCACATCTGCTGTGTGTTTGTGTGTGTGTGTGTTGGGCAGAGGGGATAGAAAAGTCCCTGGGGTTTTAGAAGACTCACAGATCAGCAGGTCTTTTGTTTGTTTATTGAACACAGAAGGGTTTCCTGTCGCTCAGGGTTAGTTGATGTGAGCACAGACATCTCATGACTAAGCGTGATAAAATCTCCTGAGGTTGATTAAGTCTTCCTCTCAGGCTATGGGTTTAAAGACTGGGTTGCCTCAAGAGAAGGGCCGAGGAAGGGAGCAAGGGAGGATGAGGTGGGTTCAGCAAGGGTTGTGGTAGAGCCGCAGCTTCCTCTGGAAGAAGCTCAGAGAACATTGTTGTTTGTGAGCTTGGGCAGGTACTCTGAACACTCTTCAGCCTGTCTGTTCCAGTCTGTTGCTACTCTACTATGACCACTCTGACCTGAACCCTCAAGGCATTGTTTGCACCCTGCTCTGTCTCTCCATTTCCTGTGGGTGACTTTCAGAGACCTCTGAGGCTCCTCCGGTGACCTCCACTTTTGCTTGTATAAAACAGTTGTTGTTATTCCCTTCACATCCCCCATGACTAGCACAAAGCTTGGCACATAGTAGGTGTTTGGCAAATGAGTAAGTGAGTGAATGCTGTTCATTCAAATAATAGCCTTCTTCAGAGATCCCTGGATTGCCCTGTGAGTTTCCCCACTCACTTCCAGGCTTACTCTCCCTACTCCTCATCCTTGCTGTGCTGTCCCTCTGTTACTCACCAGGGCCTGGGTTACTCTGGGCGGCTGTGTATGTCTGTCTTCCCTACTGGACTCAACCCTGAGAGGGGAAGGACTGGATTCTGTTCTCACTCTGTCCCTTTTATGTTACCTGACACAGTAGATGCCCAGAAAGTAGGTTCTGAATTGAAAACCCTCCTCTGACCTTGTCTCTAAAATGAGGAACAGTTGTCTGCTGAGTCTTGTTGAGAGTTGCAAGCTGTCTGGAAAAGCTAGGAGGTCCTTGCCACTGAGCCTGCAGAGGCACCATGGCCTCTTCTGCCTGGGTGAGCAGGCTGGAGAAGCTCTTCCTGTCATGGCTTGCAGTGGGGTGACTGACCTGGTATTCTTCTTTCCTGTTTCCCCTCTAGATGTGTACAAGCTGACCTCTGAGTTGCTGGGAGAGGGAGCCTATGCCAAAGTCCAGGGTGCTGTGAGCCTGCAGACTGGCAAAGAATATGCTGTCAAAGTGAGTGTGCCACTGGGTCCCCACCTCTACTTTGCAAATTGTCATTCCTAGCTTGACCCAAACCAAATAAATTGTGTATTATGCAACATGGTTGCTCAGGACAGAATGGAGGGAACATACCTACATTCCCTGGACTCACATCTGGGCTTTTCTACTAACTATTTTGTAAACTTGGACAAGTTAGTCAACCTTCTGTCCTTCAGTTTCCTTTTCTGCAAAATGGGTGTAAATAATAGAACTTACATAGGATTATGGGGATTGAGTAAATTAATAGGTGCAGTATATTTACATCCACATAGGCTGTTTCTGATTACTGCAATAAGCAACGTAAGCTTTGGAAGTAGAAGCTCTGCATGAATCATTTTTAACAAACGTACTTGACTTTGAGCAACTCACTGAACCTCCTTAAGCCCTGGTTTCTATGTCTAAATGAAAGTGACAGTTCCTGTCCTCAGAATCTGGTGACCTGATTATGAAGGTGAAAATGAACTGGTAGACATACTTGATAAACCACAAAGTACAAGTGATGACCAATGTCATGACGGTGAGGACTAAGACCTGAAGTGACAGGGCACTTGGCTTTGAGGCAGGAGATGTGGACTTAGCCTCTGTGCTGCCTTTAATTGGCTGTATGTCTCACTTTCAAACCATTTGGCTACTGAAAGGAGAGAGACAGAGCTGCGGTTCTCAAAGTAGGGTCCCTGGGCCAGCAGCACCAGTGTCCCTGGAGAGTGTGAGAAATGCATTAGAAATTAGGCTTGGCCCAGCACTGTGCATATCTCCATCCAGGTGAGTGTGATCCTCAGGACAGTCTGAAAACCCTGATGGAGGGCAGATTTAAACTGCAGCGGGCAGGGATCAGCCAGTGAGCTAACAGCACAAAGAGCCAGGTTTCTCAGTGTAGGAGAGAGCCTGGAGCTACATCTTTGCAAAAGTGCCCCAGTGATTCTGAGACCGACTGTTTGAGGACCACTGAGCTCTATGGAGAGGCTTACTGAAGCTAGGGAGGCATGTCAGTTAAGCTTATTTCAGATCAGCCAGCTGAGCCATCAGGTCTAAGCACTGCCTCCTTCGGGGCAACCCTGCTGAACTGGATCCAAAGAAGCATCTCTTCCAACCAACTCTCAAGACCAGCTGTGGATTATGATTATGAAGAGGATCTCTACTAAACCTTCTGGCTGGAGTATCATTCCAAATATATCAAAATAGCTACTTCTGTTCCTCTTTGTAAACAAGTTGCTATAAATTAAAAAGAATTTTTAATACGCCTAAAAGTGATTAAAGCATACATACACGTTCGTAAATGTTAAATTGAATGGAACCCAGTGCAGTGGCACACACTTTTAATCTCAGCACTTGGGAGGCCAAGACAGGCAAATCTGAGTTTCAGACCATTCTGGTGTACATAGTGAACTCCAGGTCAGCCAGAGCTATAGGGGAGAAAAAGCTGATGGATGAGTGGATGGATGGGGATAGGTGAGTGAATGGATAGGTGGGTGAATGGGTGGACAACAGGTCTGTTTCTTCCAGGGTGAGTCGCAGGAGGAAAACATAGCACTCTGATCCATGTTCCTCTAGAAGCTTTATGCAACCTAAGACAAGCTAGATCTCCCAACATGACTCCCCAAGACACGGCTTACTACTGCTTTACCTCTAAGCATCCACCCAGTGACTGCAGAGCTGGGATGGAATATCCCAGCAATCTGATGCACACTGCCACTAACTCAAAGTAGTTATCCGTGTTCCTCTCCTGGGCTAGTGGTCAGAACCCATTGGTTATCTCCTCAGAGAGAAGTCACCTGTTGCTGGAAAGCCTGTCTGCCGGAGAGTTGTCGATAACTTTGACCATCCCTGCTTAATGAATGCAGCTGAATAGTCAGAGGAACATAGTTTTTGTTCCACAGCACTGCACCTTGCTGATAGTTCAAAAGATGAGTCTGGAGTGAGTTCCTAACAGGTGTGACTAATCTCCACATTACAGTTGAATACATGTGCTTATGCTACATCATAGTAAAATCTTTTAAAACATGCCAAGCAGCTAGAAGGAAGGGGCAAGATGTTCCTTCTGAGCTATGACTAGCTCTCCCTACAGGCTCTGTTTACAGTGCTCCAGGGCTCTGGATGGCTGCAGAGGCCTTTTCAGAGTCAGCTTGATCCCACACAAACCACTGCTGAGTGGGCTCCTGTGTTTCTGCAGTCAGCACTTGCCGAGCAGCTCCAAGTGGAGCCATGTAGCAGGGGCTGCCCGCAGTGTGGGAGGAGAAGTGAAGCCTCTTGCTGCTGAAGGATGCTGTCTAGGCTGGGTGCAAGTGTGGGCTAGAGAGAGGACTGGGAGTAGAGAGAAGACGTACACCTTCCTCATCTTTTTTGCATTGTTGTCATGGTTGACCAACACAGAATGTCTAAATTACTTACACAGAACCTGCCAGAAAGTAAAGTTATCTGAAGAGGAAGTATTTGTCTTCGATCTATAGGAGTTGCGCAGTGGTTTCTGAGTGGGAAGTCTTTGCTTCCTGTCCACCCTGTCCGCCCTCATCCTTGCCCTTCCTGCATCTCAGCATACCTGCCCTTTGGAATTAAGAGCCAGTAGAAACCGCTGTCTCACTGGTTGCTCCAGCCCTTCATGTGCAGCCAGGAGCCCCCAGCTTCATATTTTACTTATTTTTATTTTATGTGCTCATTTGTCTGTGTGAGGGTGTCAGATGCTCTGGAACTGGAATTACAGACAGTTATGAGCTGCCATGTGGGTACTGGGAATTGAACCTGGATCCTCTGGAAGAACAGCCAGTGCTGTGGTTAACCACTGAGCCATCTCTCCAGTCCTAGAGCAGCAGCTTTGCACATAGCCAGAGACAACTACATGGAAGCCCTAGCTATTGTCCTGTTGCCTCATGTGGCTGAAGCCCACTCCAGACTCCTGCTGGAGAGTAGATTTGGATTGTGTCTAACCTTGCCTCCTCCCAGGGGCTCTGGCTGGGGAATCTATCTGTCTTGAGGTCAGGTAGTGTCCATTACAGGTTTCATTCTTCCGACAGATCATTGAGAAGCAAGCAGGGCACAGTCGGAGTCGGGTATTCCGTGAAGTGGAGACACTCTATCAGTGTCAAGGAAACAAGTGAGTGTGTTGTGTAGGTGGCTGGTTTTCTGGGGAGCGCTTGGCCATGGAAGGGGTTACTTTTTACTGTCCCCAACCCCAGCATGTCACTGCCACTGCTTGCCCATAGTTGCATGTAACTCCCTCCATCTTTCCAGAGGGGAGAAGGCATCATGGTAACTCCAATAAATTAACTTTCCTTGACTGAAATACTGAAATGACAGTAGTCCATAGGTAGACAATGAGCACCTCCAATCATTGTCTATTTGAGGAAGAAATGAGGCTTAATTTTTTTTTTTCCAGTGCCTATGGAAGGCAGGCCAGCAGAGCTGTGCCTGGTAGCAATCTTTAAGGCTACTTTAACACAGACACAATGCTGACGACTGTTCACTGCTGTAGGATGCCATTACAGTGCTGAAGGCCGGACCAGCACTCTTTGCTTGATAACTGGGCCACCGTAACCTTTAGCCCTGTGTTACACAGCTCCAAATGAGTGGTCCTCCCACTGTGGCTTTAAATCAGGGTCACCTCCAAGATTTTCACACCCCCCCTTCCTTGGCAGGGTCAGCAGGGAGCCAGTGGCCTGGTATTGATGGCTTTGTCATTAAGCTTGGAGGATGGGGGCCCGCTGTTGATTTAACTCCAGGCACTGCCTTCACAATCTTCTTTCAAATTAGGCCATTTTGGCCATCTTATTTGGACGCCTTCACACTAGTAAAAGCCTGCTATCTCCCCAAGTGGTCAGCATTTTTTTACGAGGGACAGATTTTTATTTTCAGCCCTGCAGCTTCTTAGTTCAGCATTAGAGACTCGACTAGGTTTATTTCGTTCTTCCAAAGAAAAAAGCCCCCAACACCTCCAGTATCCAGGCTGGTGGCTTCCCTGCTGAGCTACAAGACGACCTTGTTGGCAGAGCGCTGCAGTACTCGGGTAGACAGGGAGTGCTCACCGGGGAAGACCACAAGTGCTATGGTGGCCAGGAACTCGGCGGTTTCATTAAGCAGCGCTTAGCAGTTAGGGTCTAGCGGTGCCCACGTTAGGCCCCAAGTCTATTTGACAGATGTTTCCATTTTCTCCAGGCAATGTAAATACTGCCCCATGATTTATGGGCAAGAGGGAGGGCAAGTAATTATTTGCTGCTTGCCTCCAGGACACACACCTACTATTCAGTGTTATTAGCCGCAATTGCTTCCAGTCGGCTGCAGATTTTATTCAGTTTAATGTGACCAGGACTTTTTATAACTCTACCTAGTGGGTTTTAGGGTTGGGGTTTGACAGCACAGGCTTGGCAAAAGCACCAGAGACTAAACATTATGGAAAGATAAGGTGACCCGAATCTTGCTAACACCATTGGCTGCTTCTCAAACATGAGTCATTAATAAGCGTTCTGATTTCAAGTTGAATTCTGCCCACTACAGCCTCTGTATTGGATATTTATTAGTGGACTTTAGCATATAATGCTCCCCCTCCCCCTTTTCTCTATTTAAGGAACATTTTGGAGCTGATTGAATTCTTTGAAGATGACACACGGTTTTACTTGGTCTTTGAGAAATTGCAAGGAGGTATATCTCGTTGAGTATGTGTTTGGACTTTGGATTAAGACCCAGGGTGGTGATCATCCATCATGAATCCCAGAGACTTCTAAAACGAGTCAAGCTAATAAAAAGGATGAAGGACTTAAAAACTGCCCTTGGTTTGGGAGAAGGGAGGCCGGAGGGAAGGATGATAATTAGCATTTTGCAGAGCTTAGAATGTCACCTGTGTGGGCAGTCTATAAATGCCTTTTCATTATAATAGGAGTTGTATATAGATACTGTTAGTGATCAATTTATCAATCCCCTGTTTTGACACATTCACTATTTAACTAAATTAATTATGAAGTAGAAGCTTTGGCTTACATTGTGAAGTCTAGAAAGGCTAAACAGACGAAGAGAGCCCCATTGTTCAGAACACAGACAGGATACAAAGGAGGACAAGAATATGCCACTCTTCAGGTAGATGGAAGGTACCTTTCTGCTGCTGCACTGTCGTCACTGGAATGCACATTTAGGTTGATCTTCTGACATAATGAAAGCAAAAACGATACATTCCCTCCCCTTTCCTCACCCAGCCCTAGGACACATTCACAAGGTGAAATTACAGGAATGTGCAGAGCTAAGTCAAAGACTACATGGAGGGGCTTTTAGAAACTAACAAAGCTAAACTTAAGTCACACTATCAGCCACCATGACCTTGGAAACATCAGTTAGCTTTTTCCAAATGGTATTCTCATCTGTACAATAGAGCTATTGGTAGTGCCTACCTCATAGAGCCACATTGAAGACTAAATGAGATAGTACTTGTGAAATACTTAGCACCATGCTGATAGACACAAAGGGTTCAATAAGTGCTGGCTATTGGTATTAGTATGTAGAATAGTATTCTCTGCCTTGCTTTTTAAATAAATTTAGAAACAAAATTTATTCAGTAGGGCAAAAAAAAAAAACATAATAAATAAACATTGGCCATTTTTAGGACCCAGGAATGACACCTTCAGCCCAGAAATGCTGGCGTCCAGTAATGAGTATGATTTACATATTAAGAATACGGGTGTGCCTGTTGTGGTGGTGCTCACCAGTACAATTTGCTGAAGAAGGTAGAGGCAGCAGGATCACAAGTTTAAAGCCAGCCTGTGCTGCACATGAAGGAAAAAGGAAAGGAAAGGAAGGGAAGGGAAGGAAAGGAGGCAGGGAGGAAAGGAGGATGGAAGGAAGGAAGGAAGGAAGGGAGGAAGGAAGGAAGGGAGGGAGGAAGGAAGGAAGGAAGGAAGGAAGGAAGGAAGGAAGGAAGGAAGGAAGGAAGGATGAATACTGGGTGCAACTGGAATCCTCTTTAGCCATATCGATTAAGGTGTAGGTCTGGTGAAGCCAGACTATGGGGTTAAAAGGACTGTGGGTGGCCTCAAGACTATCCCCCAGCACAGTCCTACTGAAAGGAAGTGTGCACACGCTCTAAGGCTGAATTTACTAGGTGAAAGTCATGGCTCCACCACTTGCTAGTGTGTAATCTTAGGTAAATTGCTTGACCATTTCTGACATGAAGTTGCCCACTAATAAAATAGGAATCACCGTTCTATCCATTTTGTGCATTTGTGTTGAGATAATGTGTTTAAAGAGGATTGTACAACGCTCAATAAATGTTAAGCAATGCCAAAAAAAATTAATAATGACATGTAAAGGAGAATTTTAGGGAGGAAAAACAATCCTGCCTTCTCATCCCTTACCCCCAGGGTTTTACTTACACCAGGAGGGTGGAAATTCCTATTGGAAGGGCTGTGTTCTCATCTGAATCCAAATTCAAATGAAGAGGAGGAAATGTCTCTAAGCCCCTACAGCCCTGTGTGTGTTCACTTTTAGTTCCTTTTGGTTTCAGAAGCCAGATCAACCCCAGTAACATTAGTATCTTTTTACCTTGTATATACTTCTGCTTCTGAACTCCTCACAGACAGGCATAGAGGGTGACGATCAGGTTCAGCAGAAATGTGCTGGTCCTACTGTGCTCAGCACTGCAGTTGGTGCTGGACATGAAGCAACAAGAAATCCCTGTGTCCCTACCCCAAACTTGTGCTTTTAGACATTATGTTTGCCAGAGCCTACAAAGCTATTCTTTCTTGTCCCTCTGCCCCCAGGCTCCATCCTAGCACACATTCAGAAGCGGAAGAACTTCAATGAGCTGGAAGCCAGCAGAGTGGTGCAGGACGTTGCCACAGCCCTTGACTTCCTGCATACTAAAGGTGATCCAGGCCTTTGCCTTGGGTGGGCAGGTTGGGCTGGCCAACTTCTAGGTAGCAAGGTAGAGGTCACAGTCCTGGAAGGGACTGTCTAACAGGTAGCACTGCTGGTACTTCAAGATTCAAACCTGTTCACTTAGGAAGGGGAAGTGACATGACGCCTAGGCTCCACTGTGGAAGGTGGGGGATAGTGGAGTGGTAAGATAGAGGTCCAGGAAAAAAAGAAGGGAGGAGAAGCCTGGAGTTCACACTGCCCAAAGCATGTGTGGATTTGTGTGCTGTTGCTCTATATGGGTGATGATTCTTTTCTACTTTAAAATCATTTGATTTTTAAAAATTTGTGTGTGTGTGTGTGTACACGCACGCATGTGCATGTGCATGCATGTGGAGGTGTGCGTGTGTGCGTGCATGTGTGTGTGTGGTGTGTGCATGTGCATGCGTGCATGTGGTGGTGGTATGTGTGTGCTGTGAGTGTGCACGTGTGTGTGGTAGAATATGCAAGTGAGCACTGGTACCCAAGGAGGCCAAAGGCAGCAGATCCCCGTGGAGCTAGATTCCAGGAAGTTATGAGCTGCCCGCTGTGGGTTCTGGGATCCACACTTGGGTCCCCTGTGAGAATGATTTATACTCTTTCTTTACAAGTAATATAAAACTCATAAATGAATGTAAGAATTGTAGCATCATTCCTTTTCATCTTTTAAAGCATATCACCTGTATTTCTCTTTCACATTGGCCTGGTAAGGTATAGGTAATCTTGTGTATCTGATAATTTAAGAACTTCTTCAATGAACTAAGTCTTTTTGCATGTCCATAAGTCTGTTAGACTATTACATACATTTTTTTAATGCCATAGAAAACTGAGTTAACCCCCTTGTAACCCTGTGGTGTTATGGTAAAGACTAGGAAAGATAACAGTGTCCTCCATGGTAGTTAACACAGTACATGTATTATGTATTAGATTAATTCATTTATGTAGTTTTATGTATCTTCTGTGTATCTTGTGGACATATGTGTGCACACATGTCAGGAACTACACCCATGTATTATGCACAGTTCTTGTCATGTATATGCATATATACACAGTACATACAGAAGATGCACACAGCTACATACACAAATTAATGTGTAATAAAGGTTTATAGCAGTGCCGTGTGTGTGTGTGTGTGTGTGTGTGTGTGTGTGTGTGTGTGTGTCCTCTCATGCAGAGTAGTCCTTTGTTAAGTGTTACTTTTTCTACCCTCTCCCACTAGACATAAAGAGTTTTTATCCTAAAATTGCTTTCCTTGAAATAAAACATTCTGCCTGGTTTGGTCGGGGGGAATGGAGTTGGAACAAATAGTTTGTGAGTTAACACTACTCCCTGCACAAATGTGGCTGTGAGTGCTCAGCCCCAGCTTTAGCATGCCATACATGCCTCCCAGTCTATGTCAGGCATATATCATATCCAGGTGTGGCAGGTGAGCAGAGGTTCAGGTTCATTGACTCCTCCTGGCTCCTCAGTGGCTGGAAGTGTTCTGCAAACTGCCAGTGTCCATGCTGGGGCCCTGACTTTGCACCTGGGCTGAAAATCCCTAGAAGTGGATGTCTGTACTTTGTGCAGCATGATGAATGGAAGGGGTTCTGTTTCTGAAAGCCGGGATGCATGCAGGTAACACCTGCATGACAAAGATTTACAACTGCTCCCCAAGCTGCCTCTGTAGATTGCAAAACTGGGTCATGCTTTTCACAGGAGCATACCTTGGAGGAGGGGTAAGGGCAGTTTTATTTTTTATTTATTTATTTATTTACAAGAATGCACTAAAGGGAACAGATGCCAGTGGTGTCTTAGGAGTTCCAAAGTGCTTTTAACCATCTAGCTGGCCTGCTGCCCATGTGACTAGAAGTTGGAGGGGATGAAAAACGATTTTCAGCTGAACTTGGCTGTTTTCTAAATAACTTCATGCTGGAAAGATGAATTGGGCAAGAATGGGTCAGCCCTGAAACAAGTTCCCTACTTTTAAATACTGGACATACTGCAGCTTAACCTCTGGGAAATGAACCAGAGCAGCTGGATGGCTGGTATGTTCACTCAGGCAGGCCCATTATTACAGCCTGGCTCCCTGAGTTCTGGGGCTGAGGCACAGATGGACCACGGACGCCTATTTGGAGAGTTAGGCTCCGTGTGCAGCTGGTGATCTTCTGTGGGAACACTTGCCATAATGGAAAATATCCTTCACTTTTAGTGCAGTGAGCAGTTGCCTGACTCAATTTGTGCAGGCTGGGCTGAGTTGCTCTGGGTTCTCATTCAATTAGGTGACTGATGAAGTTACTTAGCTTGCTGGAGCTGTTCTCTATGAAGTGACTTCAGAAGCCTGGGCTTGGCCTTTTATAGGGAATTGGAAGGCTGCCTTCCAGGGGGTTTGAGTATGGCAGGTTCCCTCCCCCCCCCCCACCCTGTGTCTTCAGCTGCTTCCCAGTCCTCAGAAGCAGCAGCTGTCTGACTCTTGTTCAGTCTTCCAAGCCTTGTGTCTCAGTGCTGTGTGTGCTATGGAGGGAAGGAGGGGAAAATTCTGTGTTCTCTGCCAGAAACACCATGGCCTCATTTGTTGTCTCTGTCCCCTTCTATGGTTAGAAAATGGTTTTCCGCCAGGTGCCTTCTTGGCCATTTCAGCAAAATTTAACCCCATCGTGGGTCAGCCACTCTCTGCAGGGGTGTCTGTCTCTGAAGAGCAGCATGCTGTCAAAGCTTTACAGCAGACAGGGCAGCCACAGACACACCATGGCAAGCAGGGAAGAAGGAACTTCCAGAAGCCTTGGGAGAAGTGTAGGCTAACACTTGGTCTCCTGGGTATTCCAGGAGCCACACTGGAGGAATATTTTTCTAAAATCAGTTGCACAAGGAGAAATGAGGTAGAGCCATCCAGGCCCCCAAGACGCTCTCAAACAAGGCACTAATTATTTCTGCACCATTGTCCCAAGCCTTGCCATCTGCAGGGGTGTCTGCTCTGCTCCGTGTCAGGTGGCACAGTAAGAACCCAAGGTTGTCTCTGTAGTGTTGAAAGTAGGCTGGCTGGGATTCATTTAGCACTCCTCATCCCTGCCAGACTTCTAAAGCCTCCACTTCAAAAGAACTTGCAGACTCAACGGCACTTTATGTTTGTGTCTCTGGTTACTGCTGCCTCCTGCAGCTCGTTGGTTTTTTAATGTACCATAATTGGGAATTAATCTGCGAACAACAGCATTTGGAAAAAAATTAATTGTGTGTGGAATGTTTGATAATTATGTGCATGTGTTAACCCCTTCTTTGTTATTTGTCACTCCAGGCATTGCTCACCGTGATCTGAAGCCAGAAAATATACTGTGTGAATCTCCAGAAAAGGTACTTAGGGCCTGGTTTGGGATGTTACAGTTCATGTTGATCAGGAATGACTCTCTGCCTCAATGCAGGGAGTTAGAAATTCCCCTGGCCAAGTACCAAATTCAGTTTATTATTACGAACACATGAGAATATTGTACCTAATATATAATGTTCCCACATTATATAATGTTCCCAATGTTACACCTGAGGCCCAGGACTCAGGAGGCTGAAACAGGAGAGTCACCATGAGTTCAAAGCCAGCCTCAGCTACCAGAGTTAAGACCCCATCTGAAACAACACCTTCCTCACCCCCAAAAAAATTCCAAGTAGTTAGTCCTTGTGCCTTTTTGATCTTATCATCTGTATAATTGGCTTCAGCCTGTAAACCTGTAAAATAATGTGAGCCTCACACAACATTAATATTTCTTATCCCAGTGCTTCTGACTAGTCGTATGAGTCAGAGACAACTGAAAAAATGTTCTTTTATATGGCTATGTCTCTGCCCATAAATGCCAATTATGGTGTGGTATTATGCCAGATGGTCTCCACTCTTAGAAGTAATAATTAGGAACTCTTCTTGATAAGAGTTTGTTTCTATTTCTGTCTCCAAAGGTGCTCATTAATAGTAAAACATCAATGCTTATGTTGAACAGTGCATCCTATGTAAACATTACCTTAACCCAGCCATCTATTAGTATTTGCATTTTCATAAGAGTATATGAATTTAACAAATTCTGTGTTGGTAGAGGTTGTTAGTGCCAGTAATCCACATTCACAGCTTTGTGTGTGTGCATGCATGTACTTACACAAGAACAGTTTATCTGAATGCAGAAGCCTTAGCTCATGGCTAAGGGACAGTTGGACGTGAATGTGTGAGTTGGTCCACTACACACAGTTTTTCTGGGGATGCCAATGTATTAGCTCAAGTAAAATTTTGTGACTTCTGCTGGTTGTGGTCATGCACACGTTTAATCCCAGCATGTAGGAGGTAGAGACAGGAGATCCCTGTGAGTTCAAGGCTAGCCTGGTCTACATACTGAATTCCAGGACAACCAGGGCTACATAGATTCTGTCTCAAAAAAATAAAAAAAAAAAATAAAAAGTTTGTGAATGTGACTTCCTGTCAGTGGTTCTGGCATGCACCTTCATGATGTATTTTGATCATTAATAATAATTATAGTGAACATTTCAAATATTCACATTGTACCAGGCATCTATGCTCATTTAGTACTCATAAAACATCTTAAGGTAGACATTACTATTATCTTCATTTTATCAGTGAGGAAACTCTCAGAGAGGTTTTTTTTAAAAACTTACACAAAGTCATTCCATGGCAAATGGAAAAACCTGGACAAACACTAAGGTATCCTGGCCCCAAAGCCCCAAGGGTGCTCAGAACTTCTTATTACTGCCTGTGACTTACAAGATGTTTTCCATTCCTTTGTTTCATTTGTTCTCCATGGTTCATACCTGTAACACGAATAAATGACCCAGAAATAGATATTGGGGTTCAAGCTGAAGATCAGGGAAGCAAAGCAGCCAGACACAAGCTGTCACCTCAAGCTTAGTCTGAAAGGGCTGATGCACGCACAAGCTCCTCACCAAGTCTCAAATTGCTGCCTCCCTTCAGTGTGGCTGGAGACAGAGTGGCTCTACTGAATCCTGATACTGACGTATAGACCTCTCATGAGTCCTGGGATGAAAGGTGTGAGCTATAATTCTCTTTTAGACTGATTCAATCTTGTGTAGATCTGGGTGGCCTTGGACTCTCAGAGATCCATCTATCTCTTAATCCTGAGTCCTAGGATTGTACTTAGGTGTGTACCACCACCTCCTAGCTTCTGGCCGATGGGATTAATGGTGTGTGCCTGGCTTCAAGGCTTGTGGCTGACTTTGCTTTTCTGAATCCTCTGTTAAGCTTTAATAACTCATAAATAGTATATCACTACACATGCTTATTGCCCCTTTTTATGGTTGAAAAAACTAAATTTTGGGAAAGGTTAAATGTCAGAAGACATTATCAAGAAACAGAAAAGAAAACTTGAATAATAGGAGAAAATATTTGGAAATCTGATAAAAGTTTAACATTCAAAATATATAAAGGCCTCCTAAAACTCGACAACAGACCCGCAGTTCAATTCTCGAATGGTCAACGGGCTAGAGGAAGTTGACTTCATACCAAGATCTGCAGAGGGCTAGCAAGCACATGAAAAGATGTTCTGCACCCTTAGTTGTTAGTGAACTGCAGACCAAAGTGACAGGCACCACTATACACCTACTAGGATGGCTATATTTTAATAGAAAATGATTAGTGAGGATGAGGATGAGGATAACAGTTGGAATCTTCATACATGGCTGGTGTTTGAAATATGGGAAATGGTTTGGCAGGCCTTCCAAAGTCTAAGGGTAGAAACACTGCATGACTCAGCAGCTCTCCTGGGTATGTGCTCAAAATTGAAAAGAGAAACTGGAACGGGTGTTCATGTGCCAATCTGTATAACAACTTCACTCATAGTAGCCACCGTGGAAACAACCCTGTGTCCATCAATAGAACAGATAAACAAACTATGATCTGTACATGCAAAGGGTTATTACTCAGCCCTGAAAGAGAATGAAGTTCTGATACCTGCTATAACATACATCAATCTTGAAAACGTTTATTCCAGGACAGGAGATAAGGCAGTGAGAGAACACTACCTTAGCATGCACAAAGCCTGGGGTTCCCTTCCAGCACTGCTCAAAACAACAACAGTGAAAACATTTATGCTAATTGAAAGGGATACATATACAAATATTCCAATTAGGTGAAATATCTGAAATAAGCCAACTAATCAAGACAGAAGTAGGATAGAGTTGCCTGAGCTGGGAGTCATAAATGGGCAGTAATTGCTAGAGTTTAGTCCCCACTTGGAGGTATGGAAGAATTTTGGAAACTGATGGTGGTAATGGTATATAGAATGGATGCCACTAGGTTGTAATTTAAGAATTGCTAAAACAGGAAGGTGTGATTCATGCCTTTAATCCCAGCACTCAGTAAAAACACACAGGTGGATCTCTGTGAGTTTGAGGTCAGCCTGGTCTATGTAGTGAGTTCTAAGACAGCCAGACTATATAGAGAGACCATGTTTATGGAGGATGGGTAGGAAAAGAGAGAAAGGAGGGAGGCTAGATGAAAAAAGAGAGGGGAGGAGAAAATCATAATAAGGTCACAGCAATCTTAACACCATCTATTTCAGTTCCTTGTCCCTCAGGAAATAAGAGAGTGTATGGAAGAGGAGAGCTTGGAGTCAGTTCTCAGGTGCCTAGCTAACCCAAGGACAGTAAGTACAGCCTGGCAGATAGAGCAGCTGCCATTGACAGCCAAGCCTCTGTCATGCTGCTGTCCCCATGACCTCCAGCTTCTTGTGACAGCCCCTGGATCCTGTCTTCCTTTGCAGGTGTCTCCAGTGAAAATCTGTGACTTTGACTTGGGCAGTGGGGTAAAACTGAATAACTCCTGCACACCCATAACCACACCAGAGCTGACCACTCCGGTATGTATGCCTAGCACCCTGTGCCCTGCTACTGTATGTGTGGAGCATCCAAATCTATGATACCCTGAACAGAGGGAATTCCAGATAGCACCTCTCAGGCTTAAGTGACCCTCTGGCTCTCAAGCCAATCTCCACCCAGTTGCTAATGAAACTGCCATTGGAGCTTTCATTTGGGGTATGTCTCCTCTGCCAAAAAAAAAAAAAAAAGAACCCATTGTCTTCACAAATACAGACTACATCCTATCTCTTGTCCCAGATGAAAATAGACAGTGCACAGCCCGCCCTATTGCATAGAAGCTATAGAGAGCCTATGAGTCCCTTATCCCTGCTGAAGTCAGTGCATCACCCTCCTCCTAGAGGCTAGGAGCAATCATCCTACCCAGGAAAGTACATAATACACTCTGTGGGAAAACTGTGAGGTCCCAGGCCACACACACAGAGGATCACTTGTCCTGTTGTTCTCCCCCTTCATGCTGCACATTTCAAATGGTAGCGTTGGGAGCTGCTTCTCCGGAAGACATCTCTCCCACATCCTTAATATGCTGTAATTACGATGATTCTTCTGAGATTTGCATGCTTCATCAGTGAATTTTCCTAATAGCCTTTTTTTTTTTAAGACTTGCCTTTAAATATGCTTATGTTGTGTCTTATTCTAAGCAACATTATTAGGAATGTTTCCACGTTGGCACCCAACATATAGGGCTTCCTTGTTTTGGAATTCATTAACTGTAATTGCCAGTAACAGAAAACATTATCTGTTCTTGAGAGCACTCACCATCTTCTAATCAAATTAGATAGGAGCGGTAGGGGGAAAGGTGGGTAGGAGTAGGTGAGCCTGAAATAATGCGGGAGAGGCAAGATGCTTGTGTTTAGTTCGTCTCGGCAGTCTTCTGTGCAAGGCCTGGGAGGATCCTGGCCCAACGGCCACAGCTATGCCACTGTCCATCTGAACCTTACCTTTTTAAAGGGCAGGGAGACTGGACATTCCGTCAGAACGCTTCAAGATCCAAATGGCCTCCGAACTTTAAACCCTGAGGTTTCCTCCCTCTATGCTAGTGAAGAACTCCCTGCAGGATAGAGGAAAATCTGCACAGATCCCCCACCCATGCCATGCTTTATAGAGAGATGGGGTGGGGCTCCTTACCTGTGGCCACTGGAGGAAGACCCAAGAACACAAGACAGTAACTTGGAGTCAGCCATGTGAGCCATAGGGATACCTCAGCTGAAGTTTCTCCTTGTGTCCTTGGGGTACTGGTGAGATCTACAGCTTTCCCAGGGACTTTTGTCTGTGACTCCATCCCTCCATCCTCTTGCCTGAATTACATTCTGCATTTTGCCATCTGCTCATCCATGAACTCACCCTCTGGCTTTGCCATCTCCCCTTCCCATGCCCTAACCCTACAGTGCGGCTCTGCGGAATACATGGCACCTGAAGTGGTGGAGGTCTTTAGGGACGAGGCCACTTTCTATGACAAGCGCTGTGACCTGTGGAGCCTGGGTGTGGTCCTCTACATCATGCTGAGTGGCTACCCCCCCTTTGTAGGTCACTGTGGGGCTGACTGTGGCTGGGACCGAGGAGAAGTATGCAGGGTGTGCCAGGTAAGTGCTGCTTGGGCCTCGCTGGGAATAGCTGGGGGTCAGTGTGATGGTGTGATGGTGGGGTAACAAACAGGTTTAGGATAGGGGACTGTCCCATCTGGGAGTGGGTTTTGCACCCTCTACTGGTAGGGAAGCCAGAGGTAAAATAGAGATGGACATTCAGGCAAATGATTTCTGGGGGAGAGTTGTTGAGAAGAGCAGACCTAAACAGACTCTAGTGTGTCTGGCTTGGGGAAGAGACAAGAACCGTAGTTAGGACAAGCACAGACAAAGTTGTGGGGGCATGAAACTACTGCATGCACACTGCAGGGAGGAGAGGGGTAGCATCCTGATGGTGGGAGGAGATTGCCAAGGGCCAGGGATGATAGTCCGTGGATGTTACTTGCACATCACCTCTCCTGGCATAGCCATTTCAGCCTTCCAAGGTCATGGTTGTTACTAGGGAAAGGGGAGATTTAGGAAGGAGGCTCTATCCGTGGTGGTCTCAAACCATGAGCAGCACTTCTAGCAGAGACGGAGCAGGGTGACCAGATTAGCAGCAGCATATTCTGCCCACCCCTGGCCAGTGTGACCTCAGAAGGAACTCTCTATGCCTAGAACAAGCTATTTGAGAGCATCCAGGAAGGCAAATACGAGTTTCCCGACAAGGACTGGTCTCATATCTCCAACGAGGCCAAAGACCTCATCTCTAAGCTTCTGGTTCGAGATGCAAAGCAAAGACTCAGCGCTGCCCAAGTTCTGCAGCACCCGTGGGTACAAGGGGTGAGTGACAATAGGATGGGTGGCATGCGGTCTCTGCTGGCCTATTGGAGGTGTCACAAGGAAGCTCTCACCCCAGACAGGGTGGCTGCCCCAGGCTGGGGATAGGTGAGACAGCAGCTTCAGCCATTGTTTGGTAGAAGGAGCTGACCCCTGACTCGGCTCCTTGGTGTGCCAAGGATTTGCCTCTAACCTTGGGCACAGACCAAACCCCTAAAGACCTCTGTTAGCAGAGATGCCCATCCCAGGAAGCAGTTTAGGGTTTATAGTATAAACCTGAATTAGCTAAGAGCACCCTGAGGCGAGCAAGGCCTTGCAGCTTATGTGGCTGCACTAGGATCATGTGACTCTCCTTGTAGCTGGGGGTTAGGGTGCAGGGGCCTAAAGGCAAATGGTGTTGTTTTCCATGAGTTCAGGAACCAAGTCCTCACTATAAAACTTTAAATCCTTCATGGTCAGTCACAATACCTGAGCTTTTCCCCTCCAAGAAGTATTTGTGTCCTTGGTCTACCAGACCCTAACCAGCCCTCTGTCACCTTGCCACTGGAAGGAAGCAAGCATTCCCAGGCCAGATGTCAGGGTAGCTCAGTAGCTACTTCTCACCCACTGCATGTCAGAGCCAAGCAGTAGAGACGGGTAAGGCCCAGGCCTGTCTCTCCCTCCAGAGGAGAGAGGTAGACCTTGTAGAACAGTGTGATGGATGCTGTAGAAATGGCTAGGGACACAAAGCACCAAGGCCTCTGCTGGAATGGGGTGGGTGAGTGCCAGGGAAAGAGACCTTTGAACTGGGTCTTAGAGGGCAATTTAGACTTTAACAGGGAGGGGTGGCTGTCTGCAGAGGCAGCAGAGTGTACCCTTCTTGCTCTCTCTTTCCAGAAGGTCTAACCCTTCAGCAAGCAAAGCCAGATCCCTGTGCTGGGCCAAGTGTTGTAGTAACCTGCCCCCTCTGCTGGCCTGGGTGGGGGCAGCTCTTAGAAGCTGGGGGCAGCATTACCCACAATCTGTCCTTCCCATTTTAGCAAGCTCCAGAAAGGGGACTCCCCACGCCGCAAGTCCTCCAGAGGTAAATGCTTCCATCTTACCCAATCTTACCTGCTGCCCCCTCACCTTAGCCTTGGCTTTCCCTCACGTCCTCAGCCATGTATGGGAAATGGGCCCATCTTCAGGCTCTGTGGCCCTCTCCAGAAAGTTCTCTGACCACTTCTCCTCAGTTCTCTCAACAATCTCCACATGGATCTCTCTCTCTCTTTTAGCTTCATCTCAGCCTCTCTCTGCAGCAAACCTCTGTCTCCTACCCACTTGAATATGACTATGAATCATCATTACCCCACAAAGATGGTCCTTATCGTAGATCATTCCCTCAGGAGGGTCCTGCCCCTAGCATTGGAAGAAGGAGAGGGAGTCAGGGCCACTGTAAGACAGAGGGACAAGTTGTCACACTGTTAGGCACACAGAAATGATAATGGACTCTATGTCTTAAATGCTTACCACATGCCCAGTGTGGTACTAACAGTACTCCATACACGCTAATTTGCTGCTCAAAGATCAGGGTTCATCCTGAGAAATGTAATGAGAGAAATGCAGTTCTTTAACACTGAGGGCGTAGTCCAGGGGTAGCACATGAGCTTAGCATCAACAAGGCCCTGACTTCAGTCTCCAGCACTTAAAACAGAAAAGAGGGAAATACAGTTTCATAGTGTATAAACATCAGAGATAACACGGGGTGTTACAATCACGTGCATGTGTCAGCAACTGAAATGCCCGCCCTGCGGTGGACGACTGTGCTAGATCCACAGTCTTTATAGCAAACTTAAGTTTTCCTGTCCCCATTTTAGAGATGGAAAAGGTAAAAGTCAGTGGGCTCAAGTTAACTTGTGCTGGGACCCATAGCAGCTATGGATAGATTCCTACCAAGCTCTGCCCAAAGAGCTGGAGCTAAGCTGAACCAGGAACCCCCTTAGGGACTCATCCTTGTGCAAACCCATGTTCAGCATCCATGGGCCACTAAACCACTGCAGCTCTGAGGAGGAACTACCCACAATAGTCTCCCTTAGTTCACCCCTCCACACAACTGGCTTTCCACCTGACTGAAGCTGTTGCAGGTACCTCCAAGTACCAAACCCTGGGTTCCTCTTAGATGACTATTCAACAGACCCCAAGTGTCTGGCAGATGCTGGCCCTGGGCTGGGTTCTAGGAGCACAGAGATAAATAGCACAGGCCCCATTCCAGAGCCCCTGCCCACAGGAAAACAGAGACAAGTGCAGCATCTTGGCTTGGGAAGAGCCTGGAGGTGGGTGCTCTGAGAAGAGGCCATTTGCCCTGACTGTCCAGCCCATGAGGCCCAAAGGCCATTCTCTTCTTAGTCAAGCAAGGTTCCAAACCCAGGCAAAGCTGCTTTGGAGAGAGCAGCTGACCCAGGAAAATCTGCTGGATTGTAGGACCCAGCTGTGAGCGGGTGCATCTGCTAGCCTGCCTGCTTGATCTCAATCCTGCTGCCCTCTCCCCCGTGCCTTCCCTGGCCCCTACAGAAACAGCAGCACCATGGACCTGACGCTCTTTGCAGCTGAGGCAATTGCCCTTAACCGCCAGCTGTCTCAGCATGAAGAGAACGAACTGGCTGAGGAACCTGAGGCCCTTGCTGAGGGCCTCTGCTCCATGAAGCTGTCCCCTCCTTCCAAGTCTCGCCTGGCACGAAGGCGAGCCCTGGCCCAGGCGGGGCGAAGCAGAGATGCAAACCTATGCTCAACACCCATGGGGCTATGAACGACTGCAGTCACATCTTGTAGGCGTGTCCGAGCAATGCCCCCTGGAAATGTGTGAGGTCAAAGTATGAAGCAAGCAGGGGGACCTGCCCTGCAGCTCCAGGCGGGCCTTTTCCATCCACAAAGGCTCCATGGGTTCCCACCCATCCCCCATTTCCCTTGGGTCCTTAGAGGAAAAAGCTTTTTCCAAAGGGGTTGTCTTTGAAAAGGAAAGCAATCATTTGTCACTTTGCATAATCGCCTGCAGCATGAACATCTCTTCGCTGGGCTCCAAGTGCTCCCAGTGTGCAGATCCCGGATCCAGCTGGTGGTGGGGGCTGCTGGGGCTGCAGCCTTCAGGGACCGGGCTTCCAGGAGCTGACAGAGGCTGCCAACACACAAGCCTCTTCTCTGCCGGCACTGTCACCTTCTACTGATCCACCTTCCTCTGTCCTACAGACGTCCTCGCTGCCTGTCCTCTCCCTGGCCGAGCAAAGCCATCCCCTCAATTCAGGAAGGGCAGGGAGCCAGACAAGTCTTCCAGTCTGTAGCACAGAGAAGCACATAATCTTTCTTTGCCATGACCGAAATGTATTCCTCATTTATCATCCTCTTCTGTGTTTGGGATTGCTGCTAGACTCAGTATTATTTCTCTTTTTAAAAATATGTTTGCTTTTTTAACCATGTTCTTCCAGCAAGCATAGAACTTCAAACTCCCACTGCAAGTCCATGAACTTCCCCAAGCAGGGTCTCCACATGCTTGAGTTTTAATCCCCTCCTCTCCACAGTCCCAACTGATTTTAAGCTGTTACCATGACGAACTCTTTAGAGATGGTGTCCTCGTCTGCTGCTGCCTTCTCCCAGGTCTTCTGTGGAAACAGGTGCAAACCCAGGGCAGTTAGCCTGTTTGCCTGAGATGAAGCTAGGTCACAGGCAGCCCTGCTGCCCTGCTCTGAGGGATGCTGTGCCCTCTGCCCCTTACATGGAAGTGCAGCCATTGTCAGATGTGCTGTGGGGTCATGTAAAGAAAACAGATTTGCATACGTGATATACATATTAGTCAACCACAATCACCAAAATTCTCTCTTACTTTGTGTTTGTTTTAATAAATAATTTAAAATTCTGTCTGTGGCAGCCTTGGTGATCCTTTCTTCAACTGCAGACTTGAAGAGGAGGCAGACCTCCAGGATGGGGGCTGAGCCTAGTGAGATTACAGGAAGGATTCCCAAATATAATGGCACATTTGATCCCCAACGTGACATGGAGAGTTTTGCTTTTCTGTTTGTAGATGAGGAAAAGAAATTCATTAAACATCACTTCTACAATAAGTGACTTTGCTTTTTAACAGTTGCAGTTGGGTCAAAGTTATCACACAAGCAGCCTTCAAAAGGAGCTGTGATAGATGACCTTGTACCCACCCACAAAAGACCATACTTCTCTGTCTAAAGCATTACTATGCCTTTATTGAGGACCTGCTGAATGCCCAGACTGTACTTGTCCTATCAGAGTTGATGACAAAGAGAAATGGTGCCTCCCACCCACAGCCAGACTAGAGACCAAGGAGGTGTCAAGAAGGAGTCGATGGGCTCAGGTCATGGGCTACCAGCTATCCCATAGTATGAATGCACATTGTGGTGGCATGGTTGACAGTCTTCCCTTTGCATCCCTTCATCCACCTGTAGTGAGGCCAGCTAGAAAAGCAGGTTTGCAGAATGGCCCAAAGGCTCCAAACCCTTGGACACCCAGAACTCAGAAATGAATTCTAGCTGTGGACTTAAACTCTGGCCTAGTCAGTTCTGCAGATTGGCCCCATAGAAAGATGTCTTCAGGCCCTTCCTAGATCATGTACATTCCATCACCATCCCCAGTGTTGCTGCAGCCCAAGACCCCAGGCTTTCATCCCTCTGGCCTTTGCTCAAGCTGTGCCCTCCCACCAACCTCCTCACACTGGCCCACATAGTGAGGTCCTCTCCCTGGGTCAGCTGTTTAAATGATAGTATGCCAGCTTCAGGAGTTTTTTGTTTTTGGTTGGTTGGTTGGTTTTTTGTGTAGTTTTGGAATCTATACTAGAACCTGCTCTGAGACCAGGCTGGCCTCGAACTCACAAAGATCTCTCTGCCTCTGCCTCCTGAGTGCTGGGATTAAAGGTGTGTGCTATCATCGCCTAGCTTGTCAGCTTCAGCTTTGCTAGCAATTGTTAAATTTGCTACATTTATTAAGTAGTAGGCCCCTTCCAAGAAGTTTACAGGCATTTCATTTGTACAACTGTCCTATGGGTACATAGTATTGTTTTATCCCACTGGACATGAAAAACGGGCAGACAAAGTAAGTCCATGGCCCAGAGCTGTAGAGCTAGGAATGAATGGTGAGACTTGAATTCCTTCCAGAGGCTTAGAACCAAGAGCCTTGCTGCTTTGGTCCAAGTCCCAGCTCAGCCACTCATGGCTTTGTTTCCTGGACAAATTACTTATGAGTTTGTTTTCTAGCTCTAAATGGGGACAGTGGTGTTTAGCTCACCAAGCTGTAAACGTTACAAAGTAATGAAGACGAAGGGTCATGTGTTCCAGATGCATCCAGAAGGATGGTCCATCCTCTTTGGTTGTCTTGGTTCTACTTATCCTGTCTCATGAGTGGGATTAATAAAGCTACAACACCAAGATTGGACAGAAGCTGCCCTCTTCTTGCCCACGGAGACCTCTGAGAGCCCCCATGCAGTACACAGAATGATCTGAATTTGAGATGAGTCAGACCTCTGGCCCCTGAGATCCTTATTTTGAGAGGCTGCTCTGTCTGCCACTCTGTGCTGGGGTCCCTGTCACAGCATGGGGGCAGTTGTGGGGACAGGGAAAAGCCTGCTATTGGAAGCTGGAAGTCCTGGAAGTCTAGTCTGTTTTGTACTTCCACTCACTGGGGTGTCTTGGATGTCCTGGCTCTGCTGGATAGAGACAAGTGTGGTGAATGCTTTGAGGGAGCTCTGGATGGTGGAGCTTTGTCCAGATGTTGATGCTTGGGATGGTAAAAGCCAGCTTTGCAGCTCTAGGGATCACACTGGGCTGTAGTCTTCAGGGAGGCAGCTTCAAGGAGCTGACAGAGGCTGTCGACATTCATGTCTCTGCACTTCCTCTGGCAGGCCTTCCATCTTTGGAAGAGAGTGTCTCAGACATGAGGCCTCGTTTCTCAGATCTAGCTAGAGGACATTGGTCTAGCCCCAGTACTAGTTCAACCTGGCCATGGGATAATCAAGTCTTGGGGCTTCACATGTCCACCTGCTTGAACTCTGGGGGGGGGTCTTCTCCCTCCTGGTCTACTTCCCCTCACCAGACCCAACTGCACAGACAGATTACATTGGTCTCATGCCAACTACTCCAGCAGCTTCAGGTCTGGAGGGACCCTAGCATCAAGGTCCCTACAAAGCTGACATTCTTGTTTCCATGGTAGCAGTTGCCTTGGAAGCTGCTTCCCTGACTTCAGTTTCTGAACCATCCAAGAAAACTGCCGTCCCCCAGGGGACCAGTAAATTAATCACACTCTGTTCCAGGGTTCTCACCCTTCGTGGAAAATAAACAGAACCAAACCAAGCTGGGGCTTGTTCAACCACTCTCCTTCCTCATACTCAACCCACGCTCGGCAATTCTGACAAAGGGCATCCACAGACACCATCCCTAGTTAGACACTTCCATAGCAGACACTCCCCACAGCAGACACCACTTAGACATACACACTCTCAGCCCTTGCCTTTCTGGGAGACTAGAGAGAAGCTATGGTAGGACCTAGTGTGTGCCATGGCTTAGTTGTGCTCTGAGTCCTATGGCTTCAGGATAACCCATGCTCCCGTGAGAAGGACTCTGGTACTTGGAAGGACTAGGAACTCATAGAACTTGGGCTGCTGCAACTCACTGTCTTCCACAAACCGCTTCCTTGAAACTCTTCTATAACTTCAAGCAAATCACTCAGATCATCATGTATTTTCCTAAGGCACTGTCTAGTGAACACATTGAAGAAAGAATAGGAGAGCCTCTCCGTGTGTGTGTGTGTGTGTGTGTGTGTGTGTGTGTGTGTGTGTGTGTGTGTGTGTGTGCACTTATGCATGTACCCATATGTGTGCATGCATGGAGAGGCCAGAGATCAACCTCAGGTGTTACTACTAGGGGGCCATCCATCCTGGATTTTTGTGTTCGGTTTTTGAAACAAAGTTTCTTGTGGGTCCTGAAACTTACTGACTTAGCTAGATTGGCTGGCCAGTAAACTTCAAGGACCTAACTCTCTGCCTTCCATAGCAATGGAATTAAGTGCAGATCACCAGCCCAGCTTTTAATGCTTTCCTGGGGATCAAACTCAAGTCTCCATGCTTGCACAACAAGCACTTTACTGGTGGAACCATCTCCCCAGCACATCTACATTGCCAAACAAAATGTCTAAATTTGAATTCTGTCTCTGGGTTTTAAAGAGCAGGGCATCCTTGAATCTGAAATTCACAGGGCTGGCCACCCCTGCCTCTGGTCTGAGGTCTAGAAACTGGTACAAGTGCCTGATGTAAGATGACAGTGTGGGAGAGCCACCCTCAAGCCTTGGACTTTGAGAGGCGTCTGTACTGACCCTACTAACCTCTAGTGATGCCAACTCTTAAGGGTGAGTGGGAGGCAAGGCATTGTGAATGGTGTTGAGACTCCTGAGGGAGCATGTATTCATCATCATTTATTTTAACAACTCTTTCTCAGAGATGCTTTACAAATGACAAGGACATGGTATATAAATTGATGACAGATTAGAGGAAAACTCAGGCCTTATCCTGGGAACATGGAGATGGCAGTGGGAAAGCTTGACATCAGGGGCACCATCTTTGCAGAGTCTGAAGGCCGATCTATGCTTGTGGTCCTACAGCTGAGGCTCTCTTCAGGTGACCCTGGGACCTCAGCTCCTCCCCCACTCTACAGCAAGAGAAGACTTGGTAGAAATGGAGCTTGGTTGGTGTCCTCCTCCCTTATGACTCAAGGTGGCAGTGCAGGGCCAAGCCCAGAGCTCTGTCATGTATCCAAGGTCTCTGTGACCACGGCATTCTGCAAAGTTCAGAGTCTCCAGAAGAGGCAGAACAAAGAAGGGTAAGGAGCCCTTTAGGTGGAATGGCAGGGCAGCCCTGGTGTGCTCAGGAAGGACTGTCCATGTGGGTCTTAAGGGACAAGGTGAGCATGGTTCATTAGGCAGAAAGAGCCAGATATGCTCAGGTCAAAGGGAAAGAGAGGGCTTGAGGATGGAGACACAGTAGAGGCCAGGGACTTTGAGGCTGGTGCAGTCTGCAGGCATGGTGATAAGAGATGGGCAATGAAAAGGGATTCTGTGCAAGGTATGTGGTCTTGGGAAGTGTCTCCAGGCTAGAGCAGGGAACAGGCCCAAGCTCTAAGACTGGGAATACCTTGATCCATATGGGTCCAGGAATGCAGTTAATGACAAGGGTTAGAGTTAGGCTCTCGGACAGGGACAGGAATCAGGACAAAGCTTGACTTGACTGGGTTCCTACTGTTCAGGCTCAGTTGGGTGAATCCTCCAAACAGACTGACTAGGTCAGCCAGGCTGAGTAAAACTACTCACACTATAAGGTCCCAACCATATCTCAGTTTCATGATACTTCACCCAGTTCCTCCATCCAACCCTACCCTAACTCACTACTTACTGCCTCTGCTTTCCCAGCCGGGAATCACCAGGGCTTAGCCTTTCCTCCTACTGCCAGCTAAAACTGGTGGTACCAATGGCTACCTAAGATAAACGGGGCTGTTTAAGATCAAGGCTCAGACTGAGCCCTCTCCAGGGCCAGCAGCTGACAGGACAGTAAAAGAAGCATGCGAGGGATAGGGAAGAGAGTGGACTTAGAGGATTACCCCTCCTTCCATGCCTTCAAACAGGGCTCCAGGTTCACCACTAGGCCAAGGGGTGGAGGCCAGCAGTCAGCCTTGAGCATGCAGTTGGCGAGTCTCCTCACATCCCTACCCCCTGAGCACCAAAAAAGCCACAAGCCCAGTCTTCCTGCACAGGAACCAACAGGGGAACCATTGAACCTGGGGACCCAAACAGAAGCTCACATTACAGGCTCGTGAATAACTCATCACCTTGCTGCCTGCACCTCTGAGAAACCAATATTCCTAGGCTCCCCGCCCCAACCCTGCCTTGCATTTCTTTAAACTTTAATAGGCCCAAGCTCCAAGGCAACTGAGCAGGGTCACAGAACTGAAACAAAAGTCTTGAGCAGAACTTAGGCCCAGCTCCCTTAGGTTCCCCAGGTGGTAGCTAACAGAGGTGAACCCCATGGAGCAGACCCACCTCCCTAGAAGCCTGGCCAAAGTAGAAATGTGGCCAGGCAGGAGCCCCAAGAGTGGCCTTCACAGGAGGTAGAGTAAGCTGGGGTGCTGGAGTCAAGCTCAGGCTGGGAGGCCCTAGAAGAACTGTGGGATAAGGTTGCAGATAAACCCCAGAGTTAGCAGCCCAGAGACTTACGGTCCAGAAGTTTCCACCCTGGATGTGGCACTCCAACAAGGAAGCATCCATCCAAGAAGACCAAGATTCCCAGGAGGCCTGGAAGCAGAGCCGTGGTAGAGCTACATGGACATCCCCATCAGCACCAGAGACTTCCGCTGCCTGCAGCTGGCCTGTGTGGCCCTCGGCCTGGTGGCAGGCAGCATCATCATCGGTGTCTCCATGTCCAAAGCTGCTGCTGCTGTGGGTGGCATCTTTCTCGGTGCCGCTGGGCTTGGTGAGCAGGCACTGGGCTGAGGTGGGGGGAGATTTCCCTGGGAAGCAGGGGCCTGGGGAGGTAAATGAGAGATAGGGGTGGGAGGCAGGCCTGGTCAGTGAAAACTGGTTGGGGAGAGAGGAAGTTGTAAGTACTACAGCCTCAGCGTGCAGGAAGGAGACCCTGCTCCTTTGGGTGTGACTAGGAAGGAGCATGTTTATGGGAGGATTCATAGCTCAGACAAAAGACCCTCCTCTCCTCCATTGTGTCAGGCCCATTAATGTCGAATGCCATCTCTCACCCCACCTTACTGCCCCGGAGGAACCTGGAGCTCCAGGCTGGGCCCTCCAGGCATAGCTTCAAACACTGAGTGCCAGACACACTTGGTCTGCGGGCAGGACCCCAGCCTGTGGCTTCCTAAACATCGTGTCTGAGTGGGAAGAGCAGCAATGGAGCCTAGAAGGTCACCTTAGAGGTCTTAGAGAGAGAAGAGAGCTGGGGGAGAGGGGGGCAGTGAGATTGGTGTCAGCTAACCCAGGAGGAAAGTAACCAACCTGCTCTTCACCTAAACAGTGGAGCCAGGAGCCTGCAAACCTGTGGCTCCTTCCCCAGATAGAGGCTGAATCCCCAGCCAGGGCTGAATGTGAGTGCTGGACACACACACACACACACACACACACACACACACACACACACACACCTCCCATTTACACACCCACAGTCCTGATCCTCCCACATCACCTCATAAACTACCCACCCCCAGCACTCTCTGTGTCCCTCCTCAGGGCTCCTCATCTTCGCCTACCCCTTCCTGAAGGCTCGGTTCAACCTGGACCACATCCTACCTGCTCTAGGTGAGTGGTTCCTCCCCCCACAGACTCTCTGACAAGTACAGTGCAATACCTTTTGTGTGCAAACCTATGAGTGACTGTCACTGACCATGCCCATGTGTGAGACTGTTCCTGGCTGCATACTGGAGTGTGTGTGTGTGTGTGTGTGTGTGTGTGTGTGTGTATGTGAGTGTGTGTGTGTTGTGCCAGTGTCACCATGGCTACAGAGTAGCAGACTCCAGCCAGCTGCCTGAGCAGACACAGCTAAACCTCAGGAATCTGTCACTCCCCAAAGTCTCCAATATCTACAGATGGCATTCTCACCCCCAAGCCCCATAAAGACCCCCTACCTCTCCTTGGGTCCCACGACCTCTTTATAGTTCCCATCACTTCCACAACTTACACCCAGACTTCCAACATCCTCAGACCTGTGTAACTCCACATATCCATAGTTCCCTCCTTAAAAACCTACCACCCCAGGGTTGAGCAGTGGTGCCACACACCTTTAATCCCAGCACTAGGAAGGCAGAGACAGGCTGATCTCTGTGAGTTCAAGGCCAGTCTTGTCTACATTGAGTTCCAGGACAGGCAGGGCTATACAGAGAAAACCTGTCTAGATAGCTAGCTAGATACATACATACATACATACATACATACATACATACATACATACCACTGCCACCTCCTTCAAGGACTCATTTCTCCTGCCCCTCCCCAAACCAGCCAGATAATACGGGAGATGTGGAGGAATGCAGTAGATTGGAGACAGTCCTGGATGGAGATTAGGCAGCAAGAAGAACTCCCTGTCTCAAACCGGGCTGGATTTGGGAATGGCCCAGTAAATGGGAATTGGGGATGTTCTCGTCCTGCAGGAAACCTAAGAATTCATCCTAACTCAGGACCAGACCATGGGGAGGGAAGGTCTAACAACAGCAGCAATAAGGAAGGTAAGTGTCTGAAGTTCTGGAGTCTATCTTTTGTCTCTGCTGTCTGGCTGGGCAGCCTTATAGCTCCTGGGAGGAGCCTTGACAGTCATAGTCAGGGAGGAGTCCCCAGACCAGGGAATCAGTGATGATGGGTCAGCTTCCTTGTGTGCAATTTGTCTTTGGGGCTTCCCTACTGGGCCTTGCATGGACACTGAGATGCAGGGCCCCCAGCTTTCCTTCTCCTACCCCTTGGGCCCCATGCGCTGGCTACTCCACTCTGCACCCAGGGCTGGAGTCTGACTCTTGGCAATGACACCTGAAACCGGGCATTTTCTCCTCTCCTGACCCTGTCCTCTACACTGGGAAACCCCAGGGAGGAATGTCTCCAAGGCAACCCAGCCTCATATGTTGATGTGTCCTGCCCCCAGTGCTTACTGGGCGGAAGGACCCATTCCAGATGCTGTCCCAGCCATTTTACACACAGCTTGGTTCTCACAACCACATGCAGGGAGGTGCTACAGTAAACGTCATTGTTTGTTTGCTTTTTTATGGGGCAACTGAGGCAGAGAGGTTTCACGGCACATCCAAGGCCACAGCTAGGAGGCAGTGAGGCCAGCACTGAAGCCAAGCATCAGCTCCTGAGTCCTGCCCTCCTTACCCTGTACTCGGTCCCTAGGGCTCCCCACCTCCCCATCTGCTCCAGCTCTGCCCTAGGTCCCGGAGCATTCTGACCCCACTCTTTTGGGGCTCTCAGACCTGACAACTCAATAGGCGTCTGTACTCAGGCATCTCCATCCTGCTGTCTCATCCAGGAGCTCGTAGCAGCCTGTCTACTGTGACCAGAACCCTGGAGAAGCTGAAGCCTGGAGGCCGAGGAACTGAGGAAAACTAAGGCACAGCTTCCTGGCCCTCCCTCCCTCTCCTGGTACTCCCATCTCAGGGCCGCCCGTCAAGCTAGAAGATCCAGAGATGATCCCTGGGGAAACTGGACATACCTTCTCTGCCAATGAGGTTCTTCATAGCAGATCCCCTGACTCCTGGCATTGATGCAAGACCCACAGGACCCCATTGGCTTCAGTCTCTCCCCTGGGCTCATCCCCTGGAAAACATCTCAACTTTGTCCCCTTATTGATCTCTTGTTGGGATTTGGTCCAGGGTCCCGACTGCAGCCACAGATGGTTGTTTTATCCTGGTCATAGAATCTGACCACAGGAGCCACAGATGGGCCTCCTAGTCGAGACCGTCATGTCTATGTGAGAGAACAAGCGACCATGATCGAGGTTGCTTTCCCGCTAAGCTCAGTGCTGACCACTGCTGTTGTACTTCTCCACCCAGGACTCTTCAGCACCTGGCTCCAGACAAGCCCGCAGAAGCTCCAGTTCTCCCCACTTCTCTTTGCAAGGAGAAGGCTCCCTCTAAAAGGCCAGCTCAGAGTCCCATAGTTACGTCCCCCTTGTCCTACTCTAGCAGCCTGTGCCCCCCTCGCTGTTGGAACCTTGAATTCTTTTTCTCAAAAACAATTGTCTCTTTGTTTGTTTTAAGACAGGGTCCGATAGCCTAGGCTGGTCTTATGTGCTCAATCATGCCTAGCTAAAGTTAGCAATTCTATTTGTTTTCTACTCTGAGTACTGAACCCAGGTTCTTGTACATGCCGGGAAAAGACTCGACCACTCAGCTATATCCCTAGACCTCGAAAAAACAATTCAATTCTCAAGCCTACCTAAATATTATGAATAATGCTTTTCCCCCCTAGTCCCTAGCACAAGGTATGGCACACAATAGGTGGTCAGCAAATGGTAGCGGCTTAAAACTCAGTGAAGAAAAATACATACCCACTAGGCTTTCCTGGAGAGCTACACTATGGCACATCCACCATGAGGTTTGAGATAGGGAGGCCCAGGTGCACAAACACAGGCAGAAGACAGTGCCACCCTCCACATCTGCACCTCCAAGGACAGCAGTATTGTTCAGTCTCCACAGACCCCTGCTCCTTGTTCTTCTTTGAGGAGAAGAAAGCTGGGAACATTCTTACTCTTGCAGGAACCATGCAAATGACTCCTCGTAGAAGCCTTCTCTGACACTGCCCCAATCGTTCCAAGGACAGCTGATCACTTGAATAGCGTTGGTCTGTGTCTCCATGTCCAGCATGAGAGCAAGGGGTTAGGAACACAGAAGACACACAGTGGATGTTGGAAAGCAGGCCATGTGGGAGAGCCCGTCTTAGACAGATGAGAAAGCGGACACATCTCAGGATAAAGGACTCATTGGGTGCCCCAGAAAAGGTTGCCAAATCAAGCTTTGCAACCAGGTCTCCTCACCTTTGCATAGCCATAGAGCTCAGCTCCCTGCCAGCAGTGGGCCAGCATCCACAAGGGGTGAATTTCACAAACGCTGGTCAGCTGTAGACTGGTTCCTCAACTGAGGAGAGGTGAGCTTTCTCTCCACCCTTTTGCCTGATCCTTGCCACTTCTCTCCTCTTTTCCTCGGCATCACCACCACTCAAGCTTCCTTGATGGATGAGAAACCCCTTTGTCCCTCACACAAAGTCTACCTTCAGACTTACTTACCTCTGTGCTCCAAAGAGATGCCCAAAGGTGGAAAATGGGAACAGGAGGTGTAAGTCCTGAGCTGAGGAGAAGGTGGCTCCGCCCCCATTTTACCCTCCCAGGCAGAATCTCCCTGAAATAGGATGGTAAGTCTAGTGCCTGAAGAGCCAGGCACAGAGAAGTCCTTGTGACCATTGTGGCATAAACTCAAAAAATGATGGAATGAAAAAGCAAGCGCTGCATCTGTTAGAGAAGCTGGCAGAGCCCTGAGGTGAGTGGGAGCTCTGGGGGCTGGCCCTTCAATTCCCCTCTCTGAAACCTCCATTCGCCATCATAGGTGGATGTTCAGATACAACCTCTCCATTAGCACCCTCTCTCCCCAGTGCCCCCCCCCCGAAGGACACCGTCTCTCCTAGCCCTCCTTGGAGAAGAGAAGAGGCGGGGCCAAGCAGTAGCAATAGTGTGCTAGGTAATTCTTAGGCGATACTTCTCAGCAGCAACAGAACCTTCCAATGGGTCAGCATATGTTTGGGAGTGGACAGAGACCAGCTTTTCCAGAAGTCTACTCCAAAAGGAAACTGGTGTTTTTTCCAGAAGCCCCAACACCTGAGCCCTGAGCCATGAGCCCTGAGCCCTGAGCCATGACTAAGCCAGCTCAGTGTTAGACCGGGTGCTGGGTGATGCCTGATCTAGGCACATCCTTACTGGACCTATCTGGAGGAAAACGGCTGCATGTAGGGGAGTGGAATTGAGACTCCCGTCTTGGTTCAGATCTCCAGGGGCCAGAGCAAGAAGCTGGAAGCCTTGGGCCTGACTCATCTGCAAATGGAGGATGGCTTTGATAGGTCCTCACTGGTCCATGCTCAGAAGGAAAGATGCCTGATCAGGTGGATTTGTGAATGAATTCATAGATAAATGAAGGGACAGTGGGCAGAGGTGTCCTCCAGCCATACTCTTCCAGGTCTATCCAGGTCTATCCAGGCCTCTCTGCAATGAAGTTCAGCCTCAAGCTGCCTCTGCCTGCGACATCCTCCTGGACCTTCATCCCATGCCTATAGAGACATGCAGCCACACCCCTTTCTAGAGTGTAGGACTCTAATTAGGGAAGGAGTGCTGAAAAGAAACCCCACCCCTGAGGAAACTCTCTAACCCCTCCCCAGCACCAGGCCCTCCAGGGCTGCACAAATGCTAAAGTCTGCGGGCAGGGGCATCCTGAAAGGAATGACACTGTTTCCACACAGGGTGAGAAAAACTGCTGCCTAGACAGTGTGGGCGGCAGGGAATTAGTTGCTGGGGTGCTCGCAAACCAGGAACCCAAAGGAGCGAAGGCGAGAAGGATGCGCTGAGCTTGTAGGCTGGAGGCAACCAGTGGGAGCCGGGCGAGGTTGGCCGCCCACGCTGGGAAGGGGCTCCGGCCAGCAAGAGGCTGCTGTGATCCACAGCCAGGCTCTGCTGTCCCAGCCTGCGTTGCTGCCTCCAGCCCACCGCCCGGTGCTGCAACCCAGCAGAGAAGGGACAACGAATCTCAGCCTGGTGTGCCCACCCTCCCAGAGCCCCTGTGTGCATCATCAGCTGATCCAGCTCTGCAAGGCGGGGCATCAATCTGTGCTCTGAGCCTGACCAACCCCTTGAATCCTGGAACTTTCTTCGCTCAGGGAGCAGCGTGATCACAGCAGGGGAGTGTCCACGAGCCCTCTCAGGCAAGTGCAGTGCAGAAATTTGGGGGGTGCTAGTGAGTGGACGAGGACTCTGGAGGGACTGCTGAGGGGAAGGGGAAGGTGCTTATCCCGCTCTGAACTCTGAGTGAAAGGAGGGTACCACACAAGGGATCGTTGGTCTTGAGAAAACAAAAGTGAAAAAGAGAAAAGGGGATTAGAGAACAGGAGACACACCCCGGACTGGCTGGCTGCCATGGCTCTCCTGCCCTACCCTGGTCCCTGCTGCTGCTAACAGACAGTCTACCCTAGGACCTCCCTCGACCCCCTACATTTTCTCCAATGCCCAAAGTCAGAAGAAACCGGAGAGAAGCTGACAGATAGCAACTCCAAATGTCGGAGACAAGTGAAGCCCACAAGACAGACTTCCCATTTGTTTCACTGATGTTCACTGAGAAGAGGCAGGTACTCCAGTCCTGGTCACAGGAGCCCCCCCCCCCGTGACTAGGGGAGCCTGAACTGAGTAGCACCCCATCTGCACAGGAAGGTAGAGCTGGGGGAGCTAGCTGAGGACAAAGCCGACATGGAGACCTGCTCTCCAAACCTGGTGAGCCCAGCCCCCACCACAGCAGAATCAAGAGGGTTACCTGGAGGGGGAACAGGGAATGAGCAAGATCAAGTAATACCACAAGAGAAGGAAGGATGGACTGGAAAGATCCTGGCAGGATGTTCTAAAGGGCTCCCAGTTTGCAAGTGTGTGGAGGGAGCCTGAGGGTGAAGGAGGGCCCAGGGCCAAGCCTGGGTGTTCCTCCTGAGGCTGTAGCCTTTGGAGGAAAGGCTATTGAAGGAGCCTATACACAGGGGCAGTGTTCCCAGGACATAGGGTTAAGAAGGCTTCAAAAGCAGAGACCAAGAGCTGAACCATGTTCGTTAAGCTCAGTGACAAGGGGTCACTGATGGCATTGTGACAGAGAGTCAGGAACATGATGGGGCAGAAATCAGACTGGAGTGGATGCCCTTGTATTCAAAAAGTGGACAGACTGCTAGCTCAAGACCATGACTGGATTGGTTTAAAGTTCCCAGGAGGACATATGTCCACTGAGGGGGGTGGTGAGCTCAGGCCAGGAAGGGGAGTCGTGAAGATGCAGTTGCAGGGCCACAGTGGGCTGGTGAGGCCCAGTGGGGTTTCTTCTCCTCTCCCAGGCTTAAGAGTTTGGGTGAAGACTCCAGAAGGTGGGAAGCTGGACTGAGACAGGGCTGAGCTTTGCTGTTTGGCACTAGCAAGACAACGAGATGAGTTAAAATCACATGAGGAAATGAAGTCAAGTCAGTGTGGATCACGGATGGTCACAGAAAGAATCAGAGACACGAGGAGCATGGCAAAGAGGTAGGGCTCTGGGGATGGCCGTCAAAGAACAGTTACAGCAAGGGGAAGTCTGGGACCGCACTGGCTTAAGGCACAGACTTAGCGGACAGAGCCTAGATCATAGACCTGGCTCTGCCAGGTCCTCTGTGTCCTTGAATAATTAATTTAACCCGAATCTGTACTTTCTTATTTGTCAAAAAGGATGGTAACATTTTTACTTAGGGTTGTCATGGGATTAAATGAATTAATATGTATAAAGGGCTTATATCACTGTCCATTTTCCATTGCTGTAACAGAATATCTAAGATGGAGCATCTTACAGTAACTTACACTGTTCTGGAGACTGGGAAGTTCAAAAGAAGGGTCCTGGTGGATAG